CCTGCCTCCATATCCTCGCCATCCGCTGCTGCTGCTGCTGCTGCTGCTGCTGCTGCGGTTGCTGCTGAGGGGCTGCTGCTCCTGCTGGGGCTGCCGTCTATACACCTGGTGTCTTCTTTGTAGCGAGGCAGCAGCAGGTTGAGCTGTCTGTACAGCTGGAGGCTTGCATGCGGCCACTCCTCTAACAGCTGCAGCGCTTGCTGCACATCTCCCTTCTGCTGCTGCTGCTGCTGCTGCTGCTGCTGCAGAGCAGCAGCAGCAGCAGCAACCTCCTCGGGAGAGGGAATAGCAAAGCTCCACGCAATTCCTGCTGCTGCGCTGCTGCCGCTAGCAGCAGCACCACCCTCAACCACATCAGCACCCAGCAGCAGCGCATGCAGCAGCTCGATTGGGCCTGCATTCGCATGCACTGACACCACACGCAGCAGCGGCCGCTCCGGTGCTGCTGCTGCTGCAGCAGCAGCAGCAGCAGCAGCAGCAGTAAGCTCCTGTGCTGCTGCTGCAACCAGCTGCCGCCGCTGCAGCAGCGGACGAGCTGCTTCGCATGCACCGGATATGTGCAGCCCCCCTAGAAGGCCCCAAGGAGCAGCAGCAGCAGCAACTTGCTGCAGAGCAGCAGCAGCAGCACGAACGATCGCTGGGTTGTCTGTACACCTCAGCTGTGCCACCACATGCGGGACAGCAAGAAGAGGAACCCGCTTCTGCTGCTGCTGCTGCTGCTGTTGCTGCTGCTGCTGCTGCTGCTGTCGCTCGTAGACCGAAGGAAGAGGCCGCATGCAGCAGGGTCCGGTGCAGCGGCAGACATCCCCAGTGCTGCCTTTGCTGCTGCTGTTGCTGCTGCTGCTGCTGCTGCTGCTGCTGCTGCTGCAGCAGTGCATGCGCTGCAGCTGCTGCTGCGCCTCTGCAACGAGAGCCTCTAGGAGCCCCACTAAGGCCTTCAGGCTGAGTGCAGCCGCCCTTCTTTGTGACTTTCTCCCTTGCTGCTGCTGCTGCTGCTGCTGCTGCTGCTGCTGTTGCTTCTGCTGCTGCTGCTGTGGATCGTGAGCTGGGGCTGTGAGTATGTGGCACTGAGCTAGCGTAGCTAGCTGAGCTAGCTGCTGCAGCGAGAGAGGCAGCCGCCCAGCAGCAGAGAGAAGAGAGACAGACAGAGACGGAGACACCGTCTCCTTATACCCCTCACACATGCAGCTCAGGTTCAGCAGCAAGCCCCTGTAGTCTGCTACAGGCTGCAGCGGCAACGCCGCACTCCTGCTGCTGCTGCTGCTGCTGCTGCTGCTGCTGCTGCTGCTGCTGCTGTTGCTGCTGCTGCTGCTGGTGGGGCTGCTGCTGCTCGGGCTGTCGTCAGTAGAAGGGATAGTACTCTCAGAGTTTGGGGTTTCGTCTGCTGCTGCTCTTTTCATGCTGCAGAGACACGGCTGCTGCTGCTGATGCTGCTGCTGCTGCTGCAGCTGCTGCTGCTGCTGCTGCTGCTGCTGCCACGCCTGCCACCAGGCGTTGAACAGCGGCAGCAGCAACGAGAAATCTCCTGCTGCAGCAGCAAGCAGCACAGGCTGCTGCTGCAGCGCCCGCAGCTGAGGAGGCAGCAGATGCTGCGGCAGAGCTCGCTCCGTTCTGAGGCTGATGGTTGGGGTGTCTGTACACCCCAGCAGCAGGCCGCATCGAGGCACCCAAGGTAGTGCTTCATCTCCTGCTGCTGCTGCTGCTGCTGCTGCTGCTGCTGATCTGCTGCGGCTCAGACGCAGCAACGAACCCACCTGACGAAGACCTGCAGAAAGGGCACGCGGGATACCCCAAAAACCCCACTTGCTGCTGCTGCTGCTGTTGCTGCTGCTGCTGGCGACACAGATCTGCTGCTGCTGCTGCTGCTCTCCTTGTAGATGCTGTGCTGCTGCTACTAGCTCAAACAGAGGCTGGCGCTGCTGCAGCAGCTGCTGCAGCTCCTCGGTTATGGGCAGCTGCTGCAGCAGCTCGATGTCTTTCTGCTGCAGCAGGGGGCCGTCGCCTGCAGCAGCAGCAGCAATTGCTGCTGCTGCTTCCCGCTGCACAGACCGCTCCTCTTGACTGGCCTCCTTTGCTGCTGCTGCTATAGGAGCAGCAGCAGCAGCAGCAGCAG